AATAAAGGCAAACTAGCAAAACTAACAAGATCCATAATAGACAAACTCACCTAATATTCAACCAGTAGTATATAATAGGGTTTACCATGGCATTTGACATAGCAAGCCAGTAGAATCCTAAATAAATATGCTGAACATAGCTGCTTTTTGTAAGATGTCTGTGATGGTAAATAAAAATGAAAAATCCTTGATAAGGCAACCAACAAATTGCAAATATTGCAACCACTGTNAATAAAGGCAAACTAGCAAAACTAACAAGATCCATAATAGACAAACTCACCTAATATTCAACCAGTAGTATATAATAGGGTTTACCATGGCATTTGACATAGCAAGCCAGTAGAATCCTAAATAAATATGCTGAACATAGCTGCTTTTTGTAAGATGTCTGTGATGGTAAATAAAAATGAAAAATCCTTGATAAGGCAACCAACAAATTGCAAATATTGCAACCACTGTGATAAACATCTTTACAACCTGTAAACAGTGCGTACATATTACTTTTTTTTTTTTGAAAATATTAACACTGTTAGTGTTGTTTCTGTTTGAGATTAACCAGGAATGATGACCAGCTCAAATTGGAATCCTAGTCAACAAGCTTTATTCAAATTTTTCAGGTATACTATTCTTATACTGTATTATTTATTTGTGTCATCTATGTAAACATTTTAGGAGAAATTGCATACAAGGTGTTCTGTGATACAAACAGAATATTATATCTTTGCGTCCAGAAATTTATTTCAAATAAAAAATATAATACAATCAGCATCTAGTCTGCTTAAAGTTTGCTTAATTATTTAAATGTGTGTAAAATTATATTTGATAGTGTCCTATACTACTGACATTGTACTCGCAAGTACAAATCCTTTCATTGATGGTTTGCATTGAATACAATCAAAATCATTTTTAACTCCAGACGGATCTACATTTTCTCCATATCTTGACAGTATAGTTGACTTGACCTATATCTCATACAATATAATCTTATAGAGTGACCTTTTTAATCATTCTCATGACATTTGTTGGGTTCGTCACGGAACACCCAATATTATTAAAATTCACAAAGTACATAGTACTATAAAAGCTGTGATGTAAGCATTTATCACAAACTGGCTTGAAAGCTTTAGTCATCTAACAAGTAAGATCCTTTTAAATCTTTTTACCTTGCGTTTAGACTTGATCGAGTTCTTCTGATACTGCGTGAGTTCTCCTATGGATTCTGTGATCCACAGTTTGCGGCCCATTAGTGCGTAGCATACCGCCATTAATGACATCGGAATCAAGTATGTTAAACTCAGGAATACTATATCATACCTGGAACAGAAAGCATTATGTCATGAAGGTAGAAAGAAGCGAAGTAGTCTGTAACCATAAATTATGCTTTCCCGACAAGAGTGTCTAGAGTGATGGATGCCGAAGTACAGTTGTATTACTTATATACAGGGTGTGCCAAGTAAATTGTTACAAATTGCATTCTTAAAATATGGTGTACGTATCAATTTCTTTTCCTTTTTTTTATATTAAATAGTACAAGAGTCTAATCTTTTGATGTGTAACTCTATTATAAAATAGTGTTTTAACTACAGCTCTCGAACTATGCACAATAAAAAAGATTTTACTACAGTTGTCTCAAAAAAATTTCTAGATACTTAAAGATTAATTTTTCAGTACCACAAAGCATGATCTGTTTTCCAGTAACACTACAGCTACCGATTCCTAAACGATTGGATTTATTCAAACTTTGTATGATTTCTATTATACCATAGGCTTCAATAAAGCCGATTAATTTGTATAACTGTGAAAGAAAAATTAAGAAACCAGTCATTTTTACGGATTTGGTAGTTCCATTGTTAAAGAGTGAAGTCGATATCTTTATTATAATTTGAGAAAACAGTTTGCAATTCTTTATTTGATACCCCTTTTATAGTAAATAGAGAACGTAGGATAAAATGAGTTTATGACCTAGATTATTTCTTAACAAACTATTTTTAAATATGAGACAAGTACTGCCAATCCTGCTACTGCAAAAGGTATTGAAATTTTCGTTCTTTACGCGCGAGACACTTACATAAACTCTTAAATATAAAACCATTTTTATACAATTGGAATACAATTACACATTGATAAATTGTTTTATCATTTTCTTCCTATGAACAGTTTCAACAAAACAGTTTCTACTTATACCACAATCTCGTGTCTCGTACACATTTACCGACATTGCATATACAGCAGGATAGACAGTTTACAGCAAAGTTTGCATACAGTAATCGCCCGATTCAGTTCTTTCCAGCATGGTCGTTTCGCACGTAGGTCGTTTCTGATAGCAGCACAGTAGACAATTGTCTGTAAGCTTGTACGTGTTTAGAAGAAAAGCCTTTAAATTCGAAGCCATTTTAACTCTAAATTCAAAACAGCTCTTCTGACTTACAGTATTTCCATTTTATATGTATGATTTATTGCATTTTATGCATATGAAATTGAGTCACGACTCGTACTACAATTTTAATTTTAACAGTTTTCTAAAATTTAAACAAATTAGGTGATACTTAAAATGTTAAAATACGATACATCTAAGGTCCTTTTTTTAAATTTTATTTTTCTGTAAACTATTAAGATAGTTTTATATGCACGTACGTATGCATACTGCAATTTATTATTGAAAACGCGGATAAATTGGAATTTTTAATATCTCAATTTTAATAAATATTGGTACGTGCGAAATGTATTGTGTATCCTGTATTCAAGTGTTTGTTAAACGCCTATGTATTTTCAAGTTGCTATTATTAAGTTGCTATAATATATAATGCGTATTCAACCCGGAGGGAGTTTATGTATTCCCTTTCTCATACTGAATCTACTATCTCGGGATCACACATGCAATTAGAACTATCAAAGTCATTCAAGTAGGTGAAACATTCAGCAGCAGTCGTGCCTGACGCAACACCTGTAATAGTCTCTATAAAAAGAGACATTGAACTGTCAATAGCGGCGCTCGGATATACTTTGATCCAGACTATAAATAGTCATTTGATTTCTGAATTCTTTTACGATTAAATTAAGTGGCTAGTTGTTGCACGAACAACAAGAATAATGAGTAGACGGCAGATTTTATGCATTTATGTTAAAAATCAATAGATCAAAACTGTGATACGATTAAATGAATTCCAAGTTATTGTGAACTTATTAAGATTTTTAAAGAAAGAATTGAACTATTTCGTCCTGTTTCTTACGAAGTGCTTTTGGAAGCAGATTGGTCAAACAGTTAGAAGTATAAGTAATTAGATATTACTTACAGGTGAATTCCCGTGTGAGAAGTATATTGTTAGCATGAATATGATCATAATCATTTCATTTGACATTTTATCATTAATACAATTATTTATTACATATTTAAATTGTGATAATTCGATTGTGTAGTTCACAACGTGTTAAACAACTGATTTAACGAAATGTATCGACGAACGACAAACATCATTAACAGTGTTAATCATACAATTAAATTTATTGAATGTGGTACGCAAAGTACAAAAATATATAATTTTAAGTAATAATAATACTGCAGTTTTCAAATGTAGAAAATGTTTGTTAAAATAAAATGAACCACGCAATCTAAGCTCATTAGAACACAGCTTTTAGTTTTCAAACCTTCGCGATTTTAATATTGCGAATTTTGTACAGACACTGATCTAATTACAAGGCTCTCCAATAAATGGCAAAATATTTTTATGTGACCACAACTGGATCGTACACCTCAGTTAATGAGATGTTTACCGTTCCAATTCATATCGAAAGACAGGTCGCATCCGTGTGCTAATAATCCGCAAGACAATTCAGAACATTCAAAAAGTTCTTGAATTACCATATATGTACATACCGCTCTTAGAGCGATTATTTTTGAAGATACGAATAAACTTTATTGACAGAAATATTTAAGTACATAAAGGTAAATATATATGGCGGTAAATATAAATCAAAATTTTGTAAGTAAATTTTATTAAATGTAAGTTAAGTAGACGTGGTTTTGTTAATAGTTCTAATAAATTCAGAAGAAAGTAAGATCATGCTGAATTAATAATTTTTTTACACACATAGGTGTGCTGCTTCAAGTAATGAATATAATAATATATAATAATATATAATAATATAATTATAAATAATATATAATAATATAATAATTTTATTTAACACTTTGACTGCCATGTCATCGATATATAGATGACGTAATTATTTGCTCAGAATTGAAAATTATTAGGATCCGCAAACCGGAAGAATATTGAAAATGTAATTGATGTCGTACAACTTAATTTTTCAATTTTAATTTAATTAAATAAAATACCTTAATTTATGAAATTTTTCAGTTGATTGGCGTTGCAGCTAAAGTGTTGAGGAAATGAAGGTGATTATACTGAAATATTTCCGATAGTAAAGATTCTTCGTATCTCCATAAATAACAGATGTTCAAGTGCTAAATCTTCCTGGTCCACCCTATATATGAAACATTGTTCTCTTTCGTTTGAATGATTTGTTTATGAAATCATGGTTCTTGATTTTCGTGTAAAGTAAATTTGATCCCAATTCGGTAATAGGAATTCTGTCAACAATTTCTGGTTTCATTTGATCTGCAAAATTACTTGAAATGATTGATATGACATCGTTACCTTCAATAAATAGCAAACAGTAGTTATTAATTAGTAATTGCATAACCTAATAGCAAATTAAACATGATCGTACGCGTTCTTGTCATTTCATATTTCGATAATTAATTCATCGACGTTTTGTGTAAACGTTTCCACATTAGCAATTATAACGTTGTAATTTACTCCGTACATATATGCAAATACTTACGTGTACCCGATTTTGCTACGCAGATAATCTCCGTCTGGCCACAATAAGCAACATACAATTCTAGTCCTTCCATTGGAATACCTGTAATTAAGGAACGATGTTCTTGATATTCGCTATTTACGTTAATCGAAATTAATATACAGTAAATTTTGTTATCCACAAAAGTGAGATAAAGATATTTGAAAGAAATATCTACGTGATTACAGTAAGTATACTAGCTAATAAAATTGCATAAATATGTAAGCAATATATAAACAATGTAACAGTTCACTTACTTAGATATCTTGTATTGTTGTGCATTAAAAATGTATATCAAATGTCAAAGTACAATTCAGAGATTTCGATGACTTTACCTCATCATTCTAGGATTAATGAAAAAAACGCACTTATGAAAAAAGTATCTTTCATTTAAAATAAAAATGCAACATACAAAATTTTGCGTAATAAAACATTGACTCGGAGCCGTTGATAGACATGGGAAGGCGATGATTTTTCATAAAGCAACGTATAAAAAGTATCCTACATTATTGTATATTGATATATTTAGATTGTGATATTTAGATTGATATATTTAGAATATTTTATAATACACCCAATATCGTTCCATATATAAAAATTTGGTATAATCATTTTCTAAAAGAAATTACGGTTTTCTCGAGGGAACTTGTTTAAGGCACGCAATTTTCAAAATGTTAAAATGACTATGGTGACGATTGATTGCATGGCTTAGCATCAATACTCAAAAAGCCCAAGATAATTCGATACTGCTTTTCGACATAAAAACAATATAGCCTCCAGTATATCACAGCTGGTAAATTTCGCACAGCTGCGTCGCCGTGCACTAAGTAATGAGAAACACATGTGACGACTCCCACTTTTAAGACTGGCCACTTAAGTGTGCCACAAAATTCGAACAATTTCCACAACTAGAGTTTATGTGTTGATTCGATTGGAGGCTCCTTTTCAGTTATGAATTCTGATTACATTTCTGAAAGTAATTGCAACTGGTTCGCATTTCGGTATACAGTGAGTACCAATAATATTCGGACATCTTTTAAAATGCAATAACTTTTTTAATACTGGACCAAATGACTTGAATTGTTTCTGGATATTTGACTGAGGAGCGATTAAGTAAAAACATTTTTACAAAAATTGTTCAAATTTAAAATTAAATTTGAAACGAAACATTTAAGTTTCTTTATAAGCTAAAGTAAAAACATTGGGAAACATCAATTTTTAATTTTCTTTTCTCTCTCGTTGTGTATTAACTCATTGCCTAGTAAATTAGCCAGTCAGGCATCTAAACAAATATTAAAAATGTTATTGCATTTTAAAAGGTGTCTAAATATTAACGTCACTCACTATATATTTTCTAGTAAAATTCAAAACCGATGCATTTCTTACGGAGTAAAAGTGAAAAATCTTGTACGAAAAGCGTTCAACGGAGAATATGTAACCTTCAAAATTGACAGCAACGCTTTTCTGTCCACCATAAGTGAGAAAAGTGCCTTACCGTACTTTGAAAATCAAGTTTCTCGAAAATCACTAACAAATTTCGTTCTACCCTTGAATTTATTCATTACATAGAATCATCGCCCGTTTCAGCGTATTTTCAATATCTACATGTTTCTGAATAAACGGTTTGCAACTAATACAGTCTACAGAGTCAAGCAAAAATAAATGAAACAATTAAACGTGAAGCTTTCTTGCAACTAATTTAAGAAATTTACACAAACTTTTAACAGGTTTCGGCAAAAATATGACTAGAAATAATGTATGACTGTGACTACCTCCTTAATGTGGTCGTCGAGTATAAGATACACGGCAGAGCCAGTGCCGAAGCGATTGTCCATATTACAATCATAGTAATCACTGTTATTTTTCGAGATATACGATGCTTCATAGGCCTCATGATGGCCATGTACCTGAAACGGGAAGTTATTGCTCACGAAACTAATGTTTTATATAAATGCTGTTACACAAATTTCTAAAATTTCTGTTTCAAATTTTATCAAAATACTTCCGAAATTGTTTTAACGCGTTCGCGAATTGCTAACGCAATTCATTAAATGCATTGTGAGATATCCAAACAATTTAGTAATACAAAGTTGCAAGCTCCATGGATGTTATGTTATGTATTACTAATATTGCAATAACTTTACACAATATCTTCAATTATAGATATTATATTTGATAGTCCATTAGGATCGTGACATATTAATATTTCCTATTGAATGCGTATGATTAAAGAGTATGTAAGTAATCATTTTTAATATTGCGCATGGAGGCAGTATCTTTTTACTTCAATTACAATGATAATAATAATAATTGTAACATATTGACAATAATAATAATAATAATAATAATAATAATAATAAAAATTTGTAATAAAAATCGTTTACATTAATCACAAGAGACAATATCCGCATATAAATTTATTTGTTGAAACCTCAGTTGTAATTTATCGTTTTTTTATTATATTAGTTTTGGTTTCGTATGTCAATACGAACAAATTATTATAGTAAAGATTGTATTACTGTTATAATTACATCATTTAATACAAATCCAATTATATCAAAATACATAAAATTCACAGTCCAATTGTAACAATGTGCGTAGATTAATCGATATTCTTCGATTGTTGCGGATTGCTAACATTCTTGTTGCAGAATATTCTTCAATTAACCAGTTCACTTCGAAAGGTACGATTAAATAAAAGAGAAAAAATTAATAAGTTACTTGAACTATTTAATTAAGTGAAAGGCACACAATAATCAACAAGTCTTCTGTCGGACTGTAAACACATTGCTTGAAATATTGTAAGCATTTTAATCTGTTTTACGTTCTGTCCGATTCTGCGACAGCTTTTCCATTCTTCTGATTACGTTAGAATGAGTAAAGCATTTCCGATGGAACAGGAATTATCAAATTCTTGAATTATTCCATCACGAAGCAATACTCCACGAAATGAAACAATATCAATTGACAATAGAGATAGCTTTGGCAGTTTTAATTAAAACCCTCCTTTTCACGTCACCGTGCTAATTCCTTAAACTTTTTAATTATGAAAGAAATCTGCGTACTCTTGTGCATAATAGATCAAACTTTCGCTGAAGCTCATTACGATTTAACGCCGGAAAAAACGCCCGCGTAGTGACGGTATTGAATGTATGTTAATTAATATAAAGTATGCAATTACTATACTTTGATGAATTAGCAATATTTCTGCAACTCATTTTAATTCATACTAAATATATTATTAATGTATTATTATTATTAATATTATTTATATAATTTATATTATTATATTACTTTATTCATATTATTTATATCATTCATATCATTATATATTATATTATTATTTTATATTATTTTTATTAAAAGGGTAAGACGAATGAAATCATTTTGCTAAACTATGTCCACTAAAATTATTTTGACCCAGTATTTTGGATTATATACTTTTGACTATTTTAGGTTAATAACTATCCAATAATATATGTTGGAAACATATACATATGTACATATGTATTTAGAAATTCCTGCGTGCAAG